CGACATTCGGCAAGGCATTTCAACGAGCTTCGATGAACACGACGGTGAAGCGCCATAAATAGTCCGGTCTGAGCGCGATACGACTTGATATTTATTCGGCAGTAAAACTACCGGAAATGTGCCACGGAATACCAAGAGAGAATGGAATGTGAAAATGGCAGACTCGTCAAACAGTAATGAAACGCGATATTACCAGAAATGAATTCTTACGGAAACTAACAAAGTTCAAGATCACATCCGCAAATGAATGTCTGTAAAATATATTGTCATTTAGAAATTTTACTTATCTTTTTTACGTGTGCACTACGTATAATAGAAAGGGAGGGTACGTTTTTTTTATAGTACCTTCTTATACTGCCATAGGGACGCACTAAAAAATAATTAGCCTCAAGCCCGGGAAAGCTACCCCCCTATTTGTTCTTAGTGTCACGCAACCGAGGTTAAGACCGTATAGGTAGGGCGGGGCGGATAGAAGGGATCTGCTTTCCGTAACGAGATAAGTTGTTTCGTTTGTATATTACGATGGCAAGCACGTATATCGCCTTGAGCGCTGCATAATTCACGCATTGGCTAGGCTCCAACCAGCCGATTGCATTTCTAAGTCTCGAGAGCGGACTACAACAATGGAAAACAGAGCGTATAGCGACTGTTTAATATGCCACAAAGAATAAGAACTCGAAGCATGAAAGCTGAATGAATCTTTTTAAAGATGAACTAGGCGGGTTTATTATATTATAAAATATATTGATTTTATATTGCTAAGCCAAATAATGAAGTTAATCTATGTATTATAGAAGTTTTCTGTCACGGTACATTAATCACAAGTAAATAATATATACATGGCGATAACAAGCTTTCGTATATTTATATATATATAAGAAATATTAAACTGTCAAGTAATTTTTAATAATATCATTATATATAATAGCCTCCACTAACAAAGTTCTTGGAAGAGCTCCAAAGTTTTGCGATAAAGTATGAGAATTATCAGCTTAAATTTGAAATGCAGTGCAAAAACTACTCTGTGACAATTTTATCCTCTTTGAAAATTAATAAGAAATTAATTCAAAATATTTTTCTAGGGAAATTAATTTAATTCTTTTTAAATCTGAAAAATTGTCTTTCGCCATTCTTGAGATAGCTAATGATATAGGGATTTCTCTCGTCAACTTTCCATTAGACATTCAACGAGTTATTGGTTTTATGGGTTTATGGGCAGTAAAAGTCGTGAGACTGAAAAGAAAGATTTATTCTTTTTAATCTTGTGCATGGTGTTTTGCGTCGGTGATAGAAATAGTATACTTGAGATATAAGTGATATTAAAATCTTTATATTCATATAATCGTTAAAATAACGCTTCTATTGTAATCTTGTATTAATCTTTGTGTTAAAAAAATCAAGCTAAAAATAACATCATAAATCGCAAAATTATGAGACACTTCGAAAAATTTTATATAAGAGCTATTATATAATACAAATACTCTTAATATTAGCATTATCACTTGACAATTTAACATTTTTAATATCGCATTTTCTTTCTATTCGTGATAATATTATGTGTCAGTTTGTACTTTCATTCAGTGTTAGTATATCGAATTTCTCCGATAGCCCCCGCTCAAAGATAAAGAATTCAATCAAAATCTAACTTGCAGCGCGCCGTGTCAGTGAGTTAATGCACTTGCTAATTTAATAAAAGCTGTGACAATCAGCGAGGAACACGCGGCAAGTGAAAATCAAGTCCACACTGTGGCAACCTATCCAACAGGACATCGTTCCTGCGATATCGATCGCACTGCTGGATAATGCTGTTGATATGCAGTAGCCTCAAACCTCAAGCGGGCTTATATGCGGGCTGTGTTGACGGAGAGCCATGTAACGATTATTTGAAAAGATAGATTTTCCCCATAAAAACCCGAGAGAAATTTTTGCAAATCAAAATTTGTTCATTTAATTGCATCCTATGGTTAATCGATAAATTATGTAAATTGAACAACTATAGAAAGATATATAATAAAACTCAAAAATATTCGTATATAGTATAGACGGAAAAATAATAATAAACCAGATAATGATCCTATATTGCTTTTGATTAAACGTACGGCTTGTTCAGAAAAATAAAAAGAATTTATAAATCGAATTCGTTTACGAAGTGATTCAAAGCTGTTATCGTCATCGCATGAATATGCACCTATGTCAGAGAGGTGATTGTTATTCATATTGATCACATATCGAATAACCGATAATGCACGTTCCGTCTCTATCGATCTCTTTTGACAAAAGGCTGACAGAAAAAAGCAGGAACAGCGATTAACAGCATGCAAGTCATTAATTTACTCTCTGAATGAAGTTATTGAAAATGATGCACATCGAAGCGGTACACGCCAGAGCTTATTATCGGAAAGACTCATTTCCGTACTATCAAATTACTATCGATATTAAAACTGTTGTATTTTCAATAACAGCGCAGCTTTACTCGTAAGTAATTAAGCGTAGCTTTTATAAAAAAAATAGTGAGTCTTCATATATATTGTACAAATTTTTAATATATGTGCACGTACACATATAATATTAACGTACATATAGATATTTTTTGTATAATATATTCGGTAATTTGCAATGTATTGTTATTTGTTGTGTCTTATATTGATTAAATCAAACTTCACAACAGCCCATAAAACAAATATGAAATTATTAATCGCTTATTTTTCTCGAGACATACGCAGCAACAATATTATTCGTGATAAAATTTACAATCACATCACAAAGTTAATCCTCAACAAACTGTGGAAAATTGCGATATAATTCAAAAAAGAAAAATGACTCGCTGAGATAAACTTTTACCTATTTTACAACTTTTTATAACTTTTACCTGAACTTTTTCTGGTAACGCATGGTTTAAGGATTACAGTACCTCGACGAGGTGCTGCAAAAAGTTTTAAGGTGAAAGCGAAGTTTATGAAAAGGTATCAATGTCATTTTGCATTCCGCATATAACTTTTTTCGCCCCGTTTTTCAAAATATATCATATAAATGTGAGAAATGAGTTAAAGGTGGAAAAGTTATAGAGAGAACATTTAGAATTTTTGTGCATTTTTCTGTACCGCGTGTTGACATCTTTTATCTGGAAATGGAATTTTTTGTAAAAGAGAGCAAATAATAAGTTAAGAATTGATACTCCGTTAGCCGTGCGAATGGAAGAAACTACTATCACTCAAAAGTGTAAATCTCGCAAAATCGATTCAGACACTTTAACTGCTAATACGCAATATGCCGTGGATCAAAAAGGCTCGCATGTCATGGAGATTTCCATCGAAGTATCTCCGAACAGAGATTGCCGCAATACGAGGCGAGCAAATATTTGTTTGTACTCACCGGATGCTGCGAAGCTCGAATTTTCAGGGCGCGAGTACATTTGTGGGGGCAACTTGGTTACATATCTATTGGTCACGCGCGATCGTATTCGTGCCATGTACATGTCAGCGGGCTTACAGACTTTCAGCGTGCCCTGTTGACGGGATCAACTGACGGCGCAGCGATACCGGTACACTCTACTACTACAACCGTTTTCAACCAGCAAAAAGTATTTTTTATCCGTCAAGTTCGATCAATTTTGCCGCGAATTGGTGTACGCGTTCGAGCGATAGAGTCGTTTCAGCATTGTAGATATTTGCCGAATAGCTCTTATACAAGTGTATTCAAATTACGTTCAATGTAAAATTGATGAAGTCAATAGAAGAACTAAATCAAATTTTATTATAATATTTAATTCCTTAACAAAACGGAAATTTTTATATTTATCTTTTATTTTAAAATATTTGGCTACGTGAAAATGTCTGAAATTATGCAAAAAACTAAAATATTTGATATAATCAACGAATATTGATGACACGAGAGGAAGATTAATCTATTTTGAGTAATATAAAACAAGTATCGATAGTAAATTACGCAAAAATAAATTATTCATTTCATGTTATCTTCATAAAAATTAATGAATAATTAATTGCATATTGAATTGAAACTACAGGCGAAATTTTCGCGTTAATCTAAATTGAACCGCGTTGTACAGAAACTATTTAGAGGTTTCGAAACATATAATCATGTATACGGAACAATAGAAAATCATTAACTCATATTAGTTGTTGCTCGATTAAACTGATTGTTAAATGAATTATTAAATTAGTCAGGATACTGAAATACATCATTTCTTAATGATAAATTTATCGATAATTAGGAAACCTTGCTGTTTATAATAATATTTTAATAATATCATTTAACAATAATTGTTTGAATAAATAGTAAATTGCGCAGATAAAAGAAACCTAAGTGAAAAATTTTGAAAACAGTAATATTTCCCCATCATTGTTGACCAACGCAGGTGCGTTTATAAAGAACTAATGTACTTTCTAGAATACACGGGCGACAACAAAGTTTTGTGAAGTTTTAGCAGTCTCAAAGGAGACGCGCCAACATAACACGGCTAGAAGTTTCTACAGAAATTTGGTAGAAGCTTCCATCTTCCTAAATCTCTTGCATTTAGTTAAAGATCTAAATAGCACGAATGTAGCAATTTATGAGTGATTTTTAACTCTTCCAAATATAGGAAAATTTAGAAAATCAATTTTATTGAAGATCTATTATTTTTGTAATGTTTGTACTTGCACAATTATAATTTGACTATATATGTATTATATAGGGTGACCAACTGCATCATCCGTTAATAGCAGATTATTAAGATCATTTGAAGAGAAAAATCTTTATATTAAAATGTCGAGGTTACAGTAATTTTTAAATACAAAATGTTTAAAGTTTTCCAATCAGATTGTAAAAACGTGCTCAGGCACAACGCATATTAATTTTCATATCCTTATTATGTGAGAAATCTCAGAAATTTACTATTAACGAATGAAACAGTTAGTCTAAGATATCTTATATATTTTGCATTATTTTGAAACCTTTTCATTTAATGATCGTAAAATAAAACAAATTTTTGATTGACTTACCGGCATCATGCGCAGCAGCGGAGTTGTTGACAAGTTGACCTGTAACATATAAAATTGATCCAATGAACAGCGTTGAAAACAATTATTTAAGATATAATTATTATGCACATTAAACTTTTATTCATCTTTTTTATGCAAATATCTAATAAGCATAAACATTAAAAATTACAAATCTTTAAATATTTCAAAATTTCTATATGCGTTACATCACATAATATTTTATGTACAATATTTTACAAATAACAGATAATAAATAAATGATTACTTACTCTAAAGTTGCTCCGTTGACGCCCGATGCTCATCCTGAGCCTCCTCCTCCTCTCAGTCCTCATTGTTGTCTTCAAGCACTCACATGCGTTCGCGACGTAAATCACACGACGTTTTAAACGGCATTCCCGACGCGTACTTTGTCGTTCGGACAAAGTAAAACTCCAATATCATCGCACGGATTATACGTTCGACACTCGAATAATGTCTGTAATAAGTAAAATGGAAAAGGATAAGGTTGAAACTACGGGAAGTGCAGTATAAGGATATTTTTGGAAAAGATAAAACGCCGGTATGGAACGTGATCTACCTCGTGCAAGTGCCGCCGTGCGAATGATGAAGGAGCAATAGACATCAAGGACAAAGTCGTGCCGATTTGGAAGAAAAATGCGGAGAAAAAGCAATAATATACGTGCGAGTACATAGAAGAGGTATGTGAGAGAGAGTGGGGGAATAAGGAGCGCGCAAGCTAAGCGTGATAATGTAAACAACCCCACCAAACGCCGCAATTCGGATAGTGTTTGCAATAAGTAAGATGGAAAAGGATAAGGTTGAAACTACGGGAAGTGTAGTATAAGGATATTTTTGGAAAAAATAAAACGCCGATACGAAATACGATCTACCTCGTACGAGTGCCGCCGTGCGAATGATGAAGGAGCAATAAACATCAAGGACAAAGTTGTGCCGATTCTGATTTGGAAGAATGCGGGGAAAAAGCAATAACATACGTCCGAGTACATAGAAGAGGTATGTGAGAGAGAGTGGGGGAATATGGAACGCGCAGGCTGAGCGTGACAATGTAAACAACCCCACCAAACGTCGCAATTCGGTTTCGAAACTTAACATTAGGGTATTTATCGAATATTTATTGAAATAAAATTGAAATCGGGATTAAATGTTCGATAAATTCCCTAATATTAAGAATTTTAAGACCAACTCACAGCGTTTGGTGAGGTTCTTTACATTGTGTTGTGCTCAGCCTGCTCCATATATCTCTTCTCTTTCTCTTACACGTTCTATATATCCGCTCGTATATATTTTTTGGTTGTCCGCATTCTTCTAAATCGGAATCGGCGCGACTTTATTCTTCATGTATTTACTGCTTCTTTATCATTCGCATGGCGACATTTGTATACGGAGTAGATCGCGTTCCGTATTAACGCATTATCTTTTTCAAGAGTATCTTTATATTTCTTTCCGCGGTTTGCAACCTTATCCTTTTTCATCGTTACTTTTTACGGACGCAACCGAGTGTCGAATGTGTAATCCGTGCGATGATATTTGAGCGATGATATCCGAACGACAATATACACGTCGAAAGTGTCATTTAAAACATCCTGCGATTTACGAATTGGCGAATTACGAACACATATAAGCGCTTCGAAGGACTGCAAAAAGGATTGACAGAAAAAGGAGGCTCGGAAGGGCGTCAGTGCCAACTTTAGAGTAATCATTTGTTATTTGTTATTTGCAAAATATCGAAAGTAAAATATTAAACACAGAAACCTCCAGTTTTTTTAGGCACTTGAAGGCATATGTGTTCGCGACGCGAATATGAAAATCGCACGATATTTTAAACGCTCCCGACACGTACTTTGTCATTTGGATAAACTAAAACTCGAATATTCGTATGGAATACACGTTCGACACACTCTGTAATAGCTAACGATGAAAAAAGATGAGATCGAAAACGGGAAGTAGTAAGGGTAGTATTATTGGAGAGGATAACGCACAGATGCGAAACAATCTGTTCTGTACGAGCGTCGCCATACGAATGACAAAGGAGCTATAGACATCAAGGAGAAAGTCGCGCCGATTCCGATTTGGAAGAATGTGGAAAAAAAACAATAATACGCGCGCGAGTTAGAACGTGTGTGTGAGAGAGAGAGAAAGAGAGAGAAGGAAGAATATGGAGCGCGCAGGCTAAGCAATGTACACAACCCCACCAAACGCCGCGATTCGGTACGACTTTGTCCTTGATATCTATTGCTCCTTCATCATTCGCACGGCGGCGCTTACATGGGGTGGATCGCGTTCTATATATATTAATGTATTATCTTCTTCAAAAATATCCTTATATTACTTCCCGCAGTTTTCATCTTTCCTTATCGTTCAAAACGGTTAAAACTTTTTTTTTCGTTTTCTATCGTTATTTGTTACGGAGCGACGGAGTGTCAAACGTGTAATTCGTGCGATGATGTGACAAAATACGCGTCGAAAGTATCGTTTAAAACATCGTGATTTACGAATTCGCGTTGCGAACGCATGTGAGTGCCTTGAAGGCCACAACGAGGACTGAGAAGAGAAAGCTCAAAGTAAAAGCATCGGGCGCCGGCGATGCAACTTTAAGGTAAAACATTTATTTATTATCTGTTATTTGTAACTCACTTACCGTGCCGGTAAGTCAATCTAAAATTTGTTTTATTATATGTAATATCATTAAATGAAAAGATTTCAAGATAATGCAAAATATAGATATCTCAGACTAACTGTTTTATTCGTTAATAGCAGATTTCTGAGATTTCATGTAGTAAGGATATAAAAATTAAGATGCAATGTGTCTGAACGTGTCAATTTTTGACAATCTCATTGGAAAACTTTAAACAGTTTGCATTAAGAATTACTTTAATCTCAACATTTTGATATAAAGAATTTTGTTTCTAAATGAGATCAGGAATATCAAGGATGATATGATTGTTCTGGGGTATCCTATATACTACATTGCAAATAAAAAAATCATCTTTTTGTATTTTAAAAAACATCCTCCGATAACTGAATCTATTGATTTGATCTTGATAAAAAAAACAATATGATTTAACGTTTCCAATAAGAAAAAGCAGTAAGAACAAACGTCTCTGATATTGAACGGAATAATTTATAAAAGTAATACGCCAAGCTCGATTGTACAATGCTGACTCATTGAACGACAAATGCGGTATTGAAACGTTGCTCTTTTTCTTATTTATGTCAGCTCAAATTTTCTACTTTCATCGCAAATTTATACGACGATGTATATCATGGAAAAATCTCGTCTCTCGTCTAAATGAATAAAACTGAAAATACATCCGCACATATTATTGGCATTATTATTTGTACAAGCAGATATTTGTGTATATTACGGGCGCTGTTAAGAAATTCAAGGGAAGTATAATGCAGAGATGTAGTTATATTTACTCGATGCGGTAACATTTATTGACCATTTCGTCGTTCTGTTTGTATGCATAGGACACACCTGCTTAACAGAACGATCGCGTAAGCCGCTGAAAAGATTCCAAAAGCAGGTGCTCGTGCTATTCGCGACTTGCATAGCAAAACCGTACCTAGTTCTCACGGGAAGAACATTTTTGCATTAACTTTCTGAAGCTGCGAGATACTTTCGAAAGATTGTCATCTTGCAAAGGACACCCTTCTGTCCAAAATAAACTAACGATACGCGAGCAATATTCCGCGTTATTGTATATTTAAATTAAACGATTTTAATTTTTTTAATTTATCTACACGTTTAATATATCTGAGATTTTTTAAATATACATGTTGTTTTGCTAACTGTTGTCGGCAAAGTGGTTATTTTCTATCGCGAGATTCCATCGCATTACCACTCGATTGCTACGTGCGCGAGTATCAAATACCAGTAATGCCAATCGGGATAGATTTATGGGGAGGACCGCGGAATTTCGAGTAAATCGTTCACGAAAATATAATTCGGCGAGTTATCGGATGGAGCGCGAGTGAGTGGCGCCCAACACAGTCCAGCCCGCGTGTTTAAGTGTTGCGGCATTCGGATTAATGGTTTGTAAGTGCGAATGCGCGTAATGAAAACCAATGGCACGTGCCGGGGACGCGGTACAATTCTATTGTAATCCCGTGCCTCGCGTGCCGCGAAGTTTCACACAAAGCTTCTGCACAGATTGGATAGAAAATACTCGTTGGCTTTTTTTTTTTTTTTCGCAGAAATAGCATATCCTATCTTCCGCAGTTATAGAATTTTTATTTTGTTCCGAAATATCGGCTAACAACGTTGACCATATGTTTCTGCACAGTTTTTCGGGCAATGTCATTAATATACAAAGCGGCGATTAAAAGTGCCGGTAGAACTGGGAATATCGGCCACTATATGCAAATAAAATATACTAGACACTCGGGAAACTATCACATGAATTTAACAACGTTTTACATGTGAAATTGCGTATAAACTCACATCTTCAAAGTTCTGCTCAGAAGTTTAGAAATACGGAAACTATAACGCGTTTATGTGGAGGAAAGGGAGCCGAGAAAGGTCCGAAGTTTTATTTCGCTCTTGAATTCAGTATGCGCGTAATGTATCGTTTCAATTATTCGAAACAGGCGCACACGTGTCCGAGGAATCGATCCCATCTTACGCTTACGAGGGTTGCGAAGGCCTGTCGTGGTTGTCGCGTTTCTAGGGTGCCAGGAAGTAAGCTCGAGTATTAGCCCGGTAATGATGTAATTAGTTCCGAGATAGTCCGCATCAGTTATCGATAATAGTGTCATCGCTCAGTGGAAGGGCATGTACTTATTATACGGAAAATGTATACTCCTTCTTTTCTATTCCTTTAAAACAGTCTTAAAAAAATATAAATTTGTACGCAATATAAATATAAATTATTATTAAACTTAAGCGACAATTTCAAGACGCCGCAAGATTATTCACATTTTATTTGCAGGATAAAGTATCCAAAAGAAAATGCAAATACTTTATCGTAAATGTCATATATTATTTAAAAAGTTTCCTTACTTTTTAGGAAGAGAGAGAAAAAGTTTTCCCAACTTTTTCTCTCTCTTCCTCCGAAAACAGATTGTTGCATTCAAATCATTTTCGGTGTGCAAATAAATAATTTAGATTATTGCCGTACAAACTTTGATTCGGAAGGATCTTTTATATTTATATCTTTCATATTTAATGTACAGTAAGTCACATAGCAAAAATAATACAAGAACTTATTGCATAATATATTAAATTATAGTAAAATATAATACTGTACACATTGTTTTACGTATATTAATCACGCGAATCTCATTTAAGAGAAATGACACTTTTTATCTTAAGTAAAAACTTTCTTACTTTATTAAAACTTCGTTATTCGAGTTTTTCAACTCTCGATTACTAATTGGTATCGTTTCTTTTTAAATTGAGAACAATGCGAATATTTTTCCGCGAGCTCATCGATTATAGACGAAACAAAAAGAATGAAACTTTATAGCACAAGAACGCTGTTGATTCTACTACTCGGCGATGTAATTAAAGTCAATGGCATTTTATGTTTTTTAGAGTACTTCTAAGTACATGCCTTGAAATATCGTAACGAGAATACAAGGAATGGAATATCGCATTCGCCTCCCACTCAAAAAAATGATCTTGCAATAATAGCTAAAATTTTCTAGGTGTAAAAAATTAACTAAAACAGATAAATGATTAGCAACTGTTGTGATATTGCATATGTAATTACTTAATCAGTTTAGATGACAGAAACAGAATATATATCTGTATTGTTTGTGAACTTTAAAAAGAAAGTTTCTCTAAAGCGCCTATCTATATAAGATCAATCACGTGTTAGATCATGCAATGAATAACATTTAGCAATGGTACCTAAATTTTTCAGAAGCTATTGCTAGAACATTACTGCTATAAATTCTATATGTGACAAACAATGTTTTCACAGATACGAAAAATAGCGATACATTCTTGTTGCGATATCTAGAAATCTAACTACATCAGCGAAATATTTTTTTGAGTGTGCAA